GTCGCCCACGCGCTCAATATGAAAAGAAAGCCATGGACTATAAAACGTGTCCACATTGCTTGGCCACTCAAGTAGCATCGAACATTCGTCATCATGTAAGTAAATGTGCGAAGAACAAAGTAAAAGGACAACGAGAAATTCAAATTCTTGGCCGAGCTGTCGAAGGTCGTTTACACAAGAACGCGAGCGATAGTTTGAGAATCGTAGTTTTTCCTGTATTAAGGGAAGATGACATTGTACGTCTCATTAGATATGATTGGCTCATCATTCTGTATGGCAACAAATTGTGCTTGAAATACACAGAGCATTATCAACACGATATGATTCGAGCTCGCTTGCGACTAATAGGACGATTTTTGGCTGCTATCAAACATATCAATCCTGCAATACCGGATTTAGCATCTGTGTATACCCCCACCAATTATGATAGCTCGATCGACGCAGTTCGGCAAGTGGCTCAATATGATACCATCACAAATATTTTCAGAACTCCCACCGTTGCTGCAAACTTGGGAACTTACTTGACACAGATTGGAGAAATTTTAATGGTTGAATGTATCAAACGGGATGATGACTCGAAACTGAAAGAGGTAAAAAAGTTCATGAAAGTACACAAGGTTGAGTTCGGTGTTGTCATCAATAAAAGAGTCATGGAGAGCCAAGCACAGATGCAAAGACATAAAAAAATAATCCTTCCATTAACGGATGATATTAAAAAGTTGGTAACTTATTTGAACGTCAATTTGAATGAAAAACTCGAGCAATTGTCCAACGCTTATTCTTACGAAGACTGGTTGGCCTTGGCTCAATTGACGATGGCATCAATTGTAGTTTACAATCGTCGTCGTACAGGAGAGATTAGCAATATATTGGTTGATGATTATCAGCTTGAATCCATTGATGACACATCCAATAAAGAGACTTTTAGTAAACTCACACCCAGAGCTCAGAAAATTGCCAAGACTTATAGTCGATTCTTGATAAGGGGAAAGAAAAATCGAACCGTCCCTGTACTTCTCAAGCCAAAACTAGTTGAATCTATTGATCTATTGCTGAAGTATCGCGAAGCTGCTGGGGTTCCGAAATCAAACAATTTTCTTTTTGCTGAACAGAGTTTTGGAGAATACAGAATAAAAGTTCTCAGTGCTTGTAATATCATGCGAAAATTTGCCAACGCCTGCGGAGCAAGCAATCCCCATTCGCTGACCGGTACCAACTTACGCAAGCATATTGCAACTATATGTATTCACTTGGACTTATCGGAGATTGCTGTGAATGATCTCTCTAGTTTCCTGGGACATGACCCCAAAATTCATCGTAATTTTTATCGCCAACCACAGGTGGAACGAGAAATTCTGCAGATTAGTCCACTATTAGAAGCGGCTCAAGGAAAAGAAGAATCGGACGATGGAAGTGAAACAGAAGCTAATGTGAAATCAAGAGACAAAAGTGAATCAGAATATGACGGTAAACAAGATGACAACAAACAACACAAGGAAGTAAGATCACAAAAGGAAAAAGAGAGCGATAATGAATCTGACGATCCCAAAACATCAAAAAGTTTCCCTTGTTACGCCGAGAGTGAAAATGAAAGTATGCCTAGAGATGATGTACATGAAAGGACAGGAGACGAAAGCACAGATGAATCATCAGATTCAACTGATATGTCAACTCCTTCTAATGATGCTTCACCTGAA